GGAAGGAAATAGCAGTGAAGCGTCTTTCTAGCAGCTCCGTACAAGGTAAAGAGGAGTTCATGAACGAGATAAAACTTATCTCAAAACTACAGCACAGAAACTTGGTCCGGCTTTTGGGGTGCTGCATCGATGGAGAAGAGAAGTTATTGGTTTTTGAATATATGGTGAACAAAAGCCTTGATAATTTTCTCTTTGGTAAGTCTCTTTCTTGCCCCTTTTGGTCTCCCATGATAGTAGAAAGTTATTTATGCTGATCAGTTTCTGTTACACTTGGCTAACAGATTTGAAAAAGAAGCTTGAGATTGATTGGCCTAAGAGATTCAATATCATTCAAGGAATTGCTCGTGGACTTCTCTATCTCCACCGCGACTCATTACTCAGAGTTGTTCACCGTGATCTGAAGGTCAGCAACATTCTCTTGGATGAGAAAATGAACCCAAAGATATCTGATTTTGGATTGGCTCGAATGTTTCATGGAAAGCAACATCAAGACAGCACTGGCAGTGTTGTAGGAACTCTGTAAGAAACCACTCCTATTCTTACAACATGCTCAGTGGAAATCTCTTTCTTTATGTTCAACTTGACTAACTTGTAAATTGATTTTTGAACAGAGGATACATGTCTCCCGAGTATGCTTGGACAGGGACGTTTTCTGAGAAATCTGACATTTACAGCTTCGGAGTTCTGATTCTCGAAATCATTACTGGAAAGGAGATCTCAAGCTTCAGCTACGGAAAAGATGGCAAAAACCTTCTCTCATATGTAAGAACATGTCTTAAACACTTTGCAGGAGTCTAGTTTTTTATCTTTATTCTTACATGCTTTCGTTGGGGGGTTTTGATTTGTTGTAACAGGCATGGGAATCTTGGAGCGAAACCGGGGGAGTGAATCTACTTGATGAAGATCTTGCTGATTCTGATTCAGCTAACTCAGTTGAAGCAGGGAGATGTGCTCATATTGGTTTGCTGTGTGTTCAACATCAAGCTATTGATAGACCAAACATCAAACAGGTTATGTCAATGCTGACTTCAACAACAGATCTTCCTAAGCCAAAACAACCAACGTTTGTATTGGACACAAGCGATGAGGATCCTTCTCTGTCTCAACACTCCAGTGATCTCTTCTCTGTTGATGAAACCAAATCTTTCAAGGAGCTAAATTCTTCCACATGAGTTAGTTGACCAATCTGATTCTACCACGTGGGCATGACTATGTGTTGGTTAAAATTGTGAAATAAATCAAGTATGTAAATTGACTCTATAATCAAACAAGAGGTTGTAAATTTGCATTCTCTCATGCTCTTATATATAAGCAATCATGTCAACTTTTACTTGGATTTGTTTATAAGGTTTCAGAGACTCCAAATTAACTCCAAATCTCCTTTAGGACCATCATTTCCGGTAGTGCCATAAGTGTTAGCATAAGCATATTCGTGTGTCACCACATGACCCCCAAGTCTTACTCACAACACTATAAGTTTTAAGTAACAAAGGAGACATTTTTAATTCGAGAATTCGGCCAAAAAAAACACAAACTTTGCACGAATTGCCAAAAGAAACCTGAACTTTTGGTCTGACGAAAAAAAACATAAACTTTTCATTGACTTTCGAATTAATTAACAATGTTTTCGTTGACTTGCCAATTTGGCACTGCGTCAACAAATTTAACAGAAAAAATTAACGTTGTTAATTATTGCCGTTAGGATGAGACGACGTCGTTTTAAGCGATTTGAAAATAAAAAGCCGTAGACCCCTGGATTCGAACCCGGGCTGATTGGATCAAGTGGCAAGGAAGTTTACCACTAGGCTAGTGGCACATTCAATGTATCTACTAACACATTTACTTATATTTGGTACTGATTGAATATTAAAAAAAATCTACAAAAACTTTAAAAATCTTTAAAATTTCAAAAGAAATGAAAAAGAAATTTTTTTTATAAAATTAATTTTGATATTAAAATTAAAATAAATTTTTTTTTTCTTTAAAAAATCAGACGGGAACTTATAAAATTTTATTTTTCTTTTAATGTATCTATTAACACCTTTACTTATATTTGGTACTGATTGAATATAAAAAAAAATCTATAAAAACTTTAAAAAGTCTTTAAAATTTCAAAAAAATGAAAAAAATAAAGAGTTTTTTTTATAAAATTAATTTTGAAATTAAAATCAAAATAAAAAAATTATTTTTTCTTTCAATGTATCAACTAACACATTTACTTATATTTGGTACTGATTGAATATAAAAAAATTCTATAAAAACTTTAAAAAATCTTTAAAATTTCAAAAAAATGAAAAATAAAGAGTTTTTTATAAAACTAATTTTGAAACTAAAATTAAAATAAATTTTTATTTTCTTTAAAAAAATCAAAAATCTTCCAAAATTTTAGTTTAAAGAAAAAATAAATTTTATTTTAATTTTAAAATTAATTTTTTTAAAAAATCGTTATTTTTTCATTTTTTTGAAATTTTAAAGACTTTTTAAAGTTTTTATAGATTTTTTTTATATTCAATCAGTACCAAATATAAGTAAAGGTGTTAATAGATACATTAAAAGAAAAATTAAATTTTATAAGTTCCCGTCTGATTTTTTAAAGAAAAATAAAATTTTATTTTAATTTTAATATCAAAATTAATTTTATAAAAATATTCTTTCTTTTTCATTTGTTTTGAAATTTTAAAGATTTTTAAAGTTTTTATAGAATTTTTTTAATATTCAATCAGTACCAAATATAACTAAATGTGTTAGTAGATACATTGAATGTGCCACTAGCCTAGTGGTAAACTTCCTTGCCACTTGGTCCAATCAACCCGAATTCGAATCCAGGGGTCTACATCTTTTTATTTTCAAATAGCTTAAAACGACGTCCACTACAAGAAAACTAAGCATTTACTAGGAAACTTTACTAGGAAAATAATTCCTCGTAAAATTACTACGAGTTTACTTCGAGTTTACGAGGAAACCATGTTTCCTCGTAAGGTTCTCGTATACTTACGAGAAAACAATTTCCTCGTAAAGTCGTAGTAACATTACTAGGACTTTACGAGGAAAAAAACGCGGGCATAGNACACACCAAACAAATAGAAAATACTCAATTCATAACTGAAAGGAGTTCACAGTCAACATAATAGTTTCTTATCAACTCCTCGTAGCTTTTCCTCAAAGAAATAGCTTGGGGCTTTTCTTCAGGTAGATAGTTCGAGGAAAGCTATGTGGGGTTGATAAAAACCGTTCCGATGACTGTATACTTCTTTTAGTTTTTTTTTAAAAAGTTGTGATTTGGGGTTTAGGAAGATGTATAGGTATAAGTTATGGAAGTTGTTTTAGGTTTAGGGTTTAGGTTTAAGGTTAGGGTTTAGGGAATTTAGATTAGGTGGTTAGTTTAGGGAACTTATATTAGGTTGTTTAGTTTTGAAAATTTGGGGTTTAGGTGTAGAAGAGGTTAGGAGTTTGGTTGTAGAAGAGGTTATAAGTTAAGGAAGTTGTGGTTTGGGGTTTGGGGTTTCGAGTTTAGGGATTTA